TGAGTCGATTCTAACTCACAGTGACCCTACAGGACAGAGTAGAACTGGTGGATTTGAATTGCTGACCTTTCAGTTAGCAGTCAAGCGCTTTAATCACTGTGTTACCAGGGCTCCTTATTGAAAAACAGAGCACTCTTAATAAATTTCAATCTATACCACAAGTATATTTGGATTCATGTATGTATGCACGTTATTCTTCCATGGCAGCTAATAAATCTGTAACTTTATAAACTCTGAAAGTCATGTTTTTAAAAAGGGCTTCAGGTTTTTATTAATTTAAAGCTTTCTTGAGTGATGGGTACATGATGGTTTACTATACTATATTCTACTTTTGTGTATGTTTGAAAATTCCATAATAAAAACTGAAAGGAAACAATCTTTGAAACTTTGATGGCTAATCAACAAAATAAGGAATTTTAGAGACAATTTACATTTGAATTATATTTAAAAAAAATTATCTTCACAGCAAACTCCTCTTGCACATCAAATCAATTTTTTATTATGACATATCTTGAATATTCTTCATCATAGCACCAATTTCATTAACCTTTTTTTTGTTGTGGTAAACATAAAATATGTAACAAGTCATTTGCCATTTCTACATTTTTAAAATGTACAAGTCACTGATATTAATTACATTTATCATATTGCACAACCATCACCACTATCCATTTCCAAAATTTCCCTAACCCTATAGAGAAGCTATGACTTCCCTTCCCCTCTCCCTCTCACCTGTGGTAACCACTAATAAATAAACTTTGGTCTTTATACGTCTGCCTATTCTTACTGTTGTTGTTAGCTCTCATCGAGTCATCTCCATTTTACGGCAATCCATGTACCACAGAACCAAACATTGCCAAGTCCTGCACCATCTTCCCAACTGTTGGTATGCTAGATTCCATTGATGTGGCCACTGTGTATTTTGAGTGCCTTCCAATCTAGGGGGCTCATCTTCCAGCACTATATTGGACACTATTTTGTCGTGATCCATAAGGTTTTCACTAGCTAACTTTCAGCAGCAGATTGCCAGGACTTTCTTCCTTGGCTGTTTCTGTCTGGAAGCTCCGCTGAAACCTGTCCACTATGGGTGGCACTCTGATGGTATTTGAAATACTGGGGGACATAGCTTCCAGCATCATAGCAATATGCAAGCCACCACGGTACAACAAACTGATGGATGATCGGCTACCTATTCTAGATATTTCAATATTTAATATAAATGGGATATTTTTATTTGTACTTTTGTGGCTAACGAATTTCTCTAAACTTAAGGTTTTTAAGGTTCATCCATGTAATAGGATGTATCAGGACTTCATTTCTCTTTATGGCAGAGCAATTTTCCAATGTACGTAATACATTTT